GGAGGAGGAGGAGGAGGAGGAGGAACGCGGAGACCGTCTCTTCAAAACGAGGACCCAACAACACAGGTTGGCTGGGAACTACGAAGGAAACGCGCCATTAGACATTTCCCCGCGCGCCTCGCCCCTCCCCGGGAACCCCTTCCTTAAGGGTTTCCCCCCACCAAATGACGTACATCACTCGTGCATCGCTCTTTCCGTCACATGCTTGGCCCAGGGACTGAAAGCGCAGGTTCTTTCTGTGAGGGCGCGAGGTCGCTGGCTACTGTCTTGGAGCCCTGCTGGTGCGAAGGCTTTGGCAAACTTTGGCACGACATACAAAAATCGATCAAGAAGCCTTGCAACAATCAATGAGCATTGCGCTTCCAGGCCTTCCTGTGGGTCCTTTGGGAGCTCTTTGGGGCAATCTTGGGGCTCTCCTGGGCCGTCCCGGGCGGGGCCCTCTTGGGCCGTCTTGGCGGGCTTGTGCCGTCTTGGGGCTCTCTGCAGGGCGCTCTTGGGGACCTCCTGTGGCCCTCTCGGAGCCCTCCTGGGAGCCTTGCGGGGCCCTCTGCGGGGCCCTCTGGGGGCCCGCCTTGGAGCTCTCTTCGGCCGTCCTGGAACCCTTTGGGGCCGTCTCGGAGCGCTCTTTGAGGCCTCGCAGGCCGTACTGGGGCGGTCCAGGGAGCCTCTTGGGCCATCTTGGACACCGCGAAGACCAAAGAAGCTCACGTGCTAAAAACGCACGTTTCCCGAAGGGAATGGGACGATGTTAACCTCTTGGGGGTCCCCTCGGGGGCCTCCTGCGGGGTCTGGGGGGCCTCTCGGGCCGCCTTGAAACCATGTTGGGCCCTGTTCATGGGCCGTCTTCGGGCCCTCTCGGACCTCCCCGATGCCGTCCGTCATGAAGGTAGCGTGGGCGCTCTTGGGGATGCCTTGGGCCGTCTTGGGGGCCTCTGAAACGCTCTTGGGGCTGAGTTGGGCCATCTTGGGCCGAAAATGACCTAAATGTTGGCCATTAGATCCGCGCCCGTTTTGCCTACCCCCCACACCCTGCTATTTCTCCCGACTAAGGGATCGCGACGCAACGCGCGCTTTGAGTCATCCGCTGCCCCCTATGGCCTTGCAACAGGGGTGCCCGGCGTGCTAGATAATACTGATTTGGTTTGGGCTGTTTTTCCACTAGAACTTCCCCTGGGGCTTCGGCCTGTCCCGCCGGCCACCCAGAAGGGACCAAGACAACCTCAACGTCCGAGACAAGTCCCAAAGACGGCCCAAGATGGCCTCCATGTGGAGCCAAGATGGCTCCAAGATGGCCGAAGACGGCCCAAGAGGCCCCCAAGAGGTCTCCAAGACGGCACAAGAGGCCTTCAAGAGAGCCTCCAGGAAGGCCCCAAGACGCCAAAATTATCGATTGGCCTAAGGTTTTTGAAGGACTTTGGCATTTGCTTCTTTTCGGCATTCCGACGGCCCGAGACGACCCAAGAGCCCCCGAAGATCGCCCCAAGATCGCCTAAGAGGCCTACCAGATGGCCCCAGAACCGCCCCAGAGGCCCCCAAGACGGCCCCAAGAGGGCCCCAAGACGGCCCAAGAGGCCTCCAAGACGCCCTGGATGGACTCCAAGACGGTCCTGGAGCACCCCAAGATGGCCCCAAGTCTGCCCAGAGAGGCCCTCAAGCCGGCTTCCGACGGCGTCAGACGGGCCAGGATGCCATCAAGACGGCCCAAGATGGCTCGAAGATGCCAAAGACAGCCCAAGAGGCCCCCCAAGAGATCTCTAAGAGATCTCTAAGACTGCCCAAGAGGCCTCCAAGATGGCCCAAGACGGCCCAAGAGGCCGTCAAGAGGTCCCCAAGACGGCCGAAGAGGCCTCGAAGAGGGCATCCAGGAGGGCTCGAAGAGGCCGAAAATATTAACCCTTTCAAGGTTTTGAAAGGATGTTGGCATTTGCTCGGGCCGAGACGGCGCGAGACGGCCCAAAAGCCCCCAATGATCGCCCCAAGATCGCCCAAGAGGCTTCCAAGATGGCCCGCAGACGGCCCAGGAGGCCTCCAAGACGCCCTGGATGGTCTCCAAGACGGCCCTGGAGCACCCCAAGAGGGCGTCAGACGGGCCAGGAGGCCACCAAGACGGCCCAAGATGGCTCTAAGATGGCCAAAGACGGCCCAAGAGGCCCCCAAGAGGCCCCTAAGACTGCCACAGAGGCCTCCAAGAGGGCCCCCAGGAAGGCCCCAAGACGCCAAAATCATCGATTGGCCTGAGGTGTTCGAACGACTTTGGCATTTGCTTCTTTTCGGCCTTCCGACGGCAAACGGCCCAAGAGCCCCCAAATATTGCACCAAGATCGCCCAAGAGATGGCCCCAGGCCCCCAAGACGGCCCCGTGGGGGCCCCAAGACGGCCCAAGAGGCCTCCAAGACGCCCTGGATGGACTCCAAGACGGTCCTGGAGCACCCCAAGATGGCCCCAAGTCTGCCCAGAGAGGCCCTCAAGCCGGCTTCCGACGGCGTCAGGCGGGCCAGGAGGCCCTCAATGAGGCCCAATATGGCTCGAAGATGGCCCAAGACAGCCCAAGAGGCCGCCAAGAGGTCCCCAAGACGGCCCAAGAGGCCTCCAAGAGGGTATCCTGGACGGCCCGAAGAGGCCGAACATATTAACCTTCTCAAGGTTGTGAAAGGATTTGGGCACGTGCTCCTTCTCGGTCTTCCGACGGCCCGAGACGGCCCCAGAGCCCCCATAGATCGCCCCAAGATCGCCTAAGAGGCCTACCAGATGGCCCCAGAACCGCCCCAGAGGCCCCCAAGACGGCCCCAAGAGGGCCCCAAGACGGCCCAAGAGGCCTCCAAGACGCCCTGGATGGACTCCAAGACGGTCCTGGAGCACCCCAAGATGGCCCCAAGTCTGCCCAGAGAGGCCCTCAAGCCGGCTTCCGACGGCGTCAGACGGGCCAGGATGCCATCAAGACGGCCCAAGATGGCTCGAAGATGCCAAAGACAGCCCAAGAGGCCCCCCAAGAGATCTCTAAGAGATCTCTAAGACTGCCCAAGAGGCCTCCAAGATGGCCCAAGACGGCCCAAGAGGCCGTCAAGAGGTCCCCAAGACGGCCGAAGAGGCCTCGAAGAGGGCATCCAGGAGGGCTCGAAGAGGCCGAAAATATTAACCCTTTCAAGGTTTTGAAAGGATGTTGGCATTTGCTCGGGCCGAGACGGCGCGAGACGGCCCAAAAGCCCCCATAGATCGCCCCAAGATCGCCCAAGAGGCCTCCAAGATGGCCCGAAGACAGCCTCCAAGACGCCCCAGATGGACCCCAAGACGGCCCTGGAACACCCTAAGAGGGCGTCAGACGGGCCAGGAGGCCACCAAGACGGCCCAAGATGGCTCTAAGATGGCCAAAGACGGCCCAAGAGGCCCCCAACAGGTCCCTAAGACTGCCCAAGAGGCCTCGAAGAGAGCCTCCAGGAAGGCCCGAAGAGGCCAAAATCATTGATTGGCCTGAGGTTTTTTTAAGGACTTTGGAATTTGTTTCTGTTCGGCCTCCCGACGGCCCAAGACGGCCCAAGAGTCCCCAAAGATCGCCCCAAGATCGCCCAAGAAGCCTCCAAGATGCCCCCAGAACGGCCCAAGAGGCCCCCAAGAAAGCCCCGAGAGGCCCCCAAGACGGCCCAAGAGGCCTCCAAGACGCCCTGGATGGTCTCCAAGACGGCCCTGGAGCACTCCAAGAGCACCCTAAGTCGGCCCAGAGAGGCCCCCAAGACGGCGTCGGAGGGCGCCAAACGGGCCACGACTGCCCTAAGACGGACAAAGAGGCCCCCGAGAAGCCCCCAAAGGCCCCCAAGGAGGCCCACAAGATGCCTCTGAGAGGCTCCCAGGAAGCTCCCAGGAGGCCCCAAGAGTGCCTCCAGAGGCTCCCAAGATGCCCCCTCCTTCTCCTCCTCCTCCTCCTCCTCCTCCTCCTCCTCCTCCTCCTCCTCCTCCTCCTCCTCCTCCTTCTCCTGATATTCCCCGCCATCCTCCCCCAAGTGTTCCCCGAAGGGTTTCTACAACGGCTGGGGGAACACATGGCCTGATAGCTTGGCAGAGCTCTTGCCAAAACGCTCGGCCACATGGGCGATCCCAAAAGGCAGGGGGGGGGCGGTGATTCGCCGTAGGCATCCTTCGATCCGCCGCCGCCCGTTGGCGTGCTACAGGGGTGCCTACTGCCAGACTTCAAGAGGCTGGCTTTGGGGGAACTCCCTTTGGGGCTTCGGCCCCGCGCGCCGGCCGCCCGGAGGAGACAACCTCAACGTCCAGAAAAAAAATCCAAGACGGCTCAAGGTGGGCTCCAAGACGACTCAAGCGGGTCCAAGATACCTCCGAGTCCGCCCAAGAAGCCTCCAAGACGGGCCAAGACAGCCCAAGAGGCCCCAAAGAGGGCTCCAAGGCAGCCCAAGAGGCCTCCAAGAGGGCCTCCAGGAAGGCCCCAAGACGCCAAAATCATTGATTGGCCTAAGGTTTTTGAAGGGCTTTGGAATTTGTTTCTTTTCGGCCTTCCGACGGCCCAAGACGGTCCAAGAGGGCCCCAAGATCGCCCCAAGATGGTCCTAAAGGCCTCCAAGATGCCCCCAGAACGGCCCAAGAGGCCCCCGAAACGGCCCCGAGAGGGCCCCAGGATGGCCCAGGAGGCCTCCAAGTCGCCCATGGTGGCCTCCAGGACGGCCCTGAAGCGCCCTAAGAGGGCCCCAAGTCGGTCCAGAAAGGCCCCCACAACGGCTTCCGACAGCGTCATACGGGCCAAGACTGCCAAGAAGGCCCACAAGAACCCCCAAAAGGCCCCAAAGAGGCCCAAGGTGGCTTCCAAGAAGCCTCCGAGAGGCCCACGAGAAGCTCCCAGAAGGCTCCAAGAGTCCTCCTCCTCCTCCTCCTCCTCCTCCTCCCCCTCCTCCACCTCCCTCCTCCTCCTCCTCCTCCTCCTCCTCCTCCTCCTCCTCCTCCTCCTCCTCCTCCTCCCCTCCTCCTCCTCCTTTTCCTCATCCTTGTCCTCCTCCTCTTCCTCCTCCTCCTCCTCATCCTCCTTCTCCTCCTCCTCCTCCTCCTCCTCTCCTCCTCCTCCTCCTCCTCCTCCTCCTCCTCCTCCTCCTCCCTCCTCATTCTCCTCCTCCTCCTCCTCCTCCTCCTCCTTCTCCTCCTCCTTCCTCCCCTCCTCCTCCTCCTCCTCCTCCTCCTCCTCCTCCTCCTCCTCCTCCTCCTCCTCCTCCCCCTCCTCCTCCGCTCTGTGTGTCATCCCTCTCCTCCGCTTCTTCTTTCTCCCCCGCGTGTTCCTCGAAGGGTTTCCACAACGGCTGGGGGAACACATGGTCGGCTGGCCAACGTTCGGCCACATGGGCGATTCCAAAAGGTAGGGGGCGGCGATGGTTATCCGTAGGCGTCTTCGATAATGGTGCGTGTTGCTGTTGTTAAATTTTGTCGCCATTGCAGCGGGCTTGGCATGACTTGAAGCGCTAGTGCAGCCACGATGTTGTTTAGCCAGCGCCATTGCAACGGACGTGACGCCGAATGCCAGCAAAGAAAAACTCTACAACATGGCTTGAAAGTACTTCTCGACGCGAATTGGGAAACGCATGCCACGCGTGGCATCACTCCGCACCCCCGATATCCTTGCCTGCGAAATTCACAAGCTCTTCCTAAAAAGACGTTGTGATCGTAGTCTTTACCAGTGGTACTGTCTTGAGTGACCGCGAAAACTGACTCGAGATCGACAGAAGTAAGCAGGCACTGTCGAGCTATGAAACGCTGGTCACAACACAGGGTGACTGTCATGCGCGGACAAAAATCAACTGATTAAGATTATTCGTGCCGAGTGGTTGCGCACACCGCCATCGCGAGGGCAGCCCCATGCACACGTGATAAAAAGTGTGTGCGCTCTGGCGCACGGCCTTTTCCCGATGGAAGACACCAGGCCGCAGCTTGCAAGAATAAACCCTGCGACTGATCAAGCAGGGCTGCCAGAAACCACCTAAGCCCAAAGGCCCTGTGGAATTAGTTCTAGTCGGTTCCCATCGGCTCGAATCTGTTTGGACCGGCTCCCATCGTTTCAATCGGCCTCCAATCGGCTCCACGCGGATATATGGTTGTCGATCAGCTCCTGTGGGCCTCAATTGGCTCCGATCGCCTCGAATCTGGTTCAACAGTCCCCTCTCGGCTCCAGTGTGCCCTCCAATTGAGCTCAGAGGGGCTGACAAAGGGACAGGGGGAGGAAGTACTGGGCAATTGAGATTCATGCTCCCCCACCTCCTCTTCATGCTCCCTCACGATCCTTCCTCTTCACCTATCGTAACCTGGCTCATCGTCATCTTGTCCTTCTTGTGCTCACCCCTACATACATTCCCCATCCTTCGAACTTACTGAATCATTCCATCTGGTACATCCTCCCTATCTCGTAAGTGTAATGTACTGCTCTACTTCCTCTCTCCTCATCATCACCGTACAGCATCCACTTTCTCCTACGTCTCCTTGTCCTCCTCCTCCTCCTCCTCCTCCTCCTCCTCCTCCTCTCCACCTTCCTACTGCACCCTGCTCCAGATCCTCCCCCATACTTTGTTTTTCTCCTCCTCCTCCTCCTCCTCCGCCTCCGCCTCCGCCTCCTCCTCCTCATCCTCATCCTCCTCCTCCGCCTCCTCATCAAGGCAAGGAAAATTTAAACCGTTTGAGTCAGGGGCGCTTTCCACGAAGAGAAGGCCCCCCCAAGCCGATTTTGGCGGCTATGGCGGAGAGGGAGCGTTTGATCCTGGCGTCGAGTGTCGTCGATGCGTCGTGCAGTGCTCCCTCCCCGCTATAGGCCTCCACTCCTCCCTTTCCTTCCAGACGTGAAGGCCCAGGCGGCAACGTTGCTGCGGCGGCGTGGACCCGCCATCGAGCGAGACCCCCGCAGCCCCCTGGGGGAGCCTGGAGGAGGTGGAGGATTCGGAGGGATTTGTCCTCCCGTTTTTGGTTGGCCTTCGGGGCCGAGGACAGCGGTCCGCGCTCAACTAATCCAGCTAATCCTCCGCCTCCTCCTCCGCTCCTCCTCCTCCTCCTCCTCCCTTCTTCCTCTCCTTCTCCCCGTCCGTACCTCTCACCTCCACATCAGTGCCATGCGTCTCCTCCGTACGTCCTTTCTCCTGGTGCTCCTCCTGCTCATCATGCTTATTCTCCCTCTTCAATCCTCCGTTGCCCTCACTCTCCTACTCATTCTGCTCCTCCTCCTCCTCCTCCTCTTCAGGCTCCTCATCTTCCTCCGTCTGCTCTGCTCCTCCTCCTCCTCCTCCTCCGCGTCCTCCTCCCCCTCCTCCTCCTCCTGTTCCCCCTCCCTCGTCCTCCTTGTCATCCCTCCTCCTCCTCTTCCTGCTCCCTAGTCTTCCTGAACCGCTCAGATCCTCCTCATCGTCTTACTATTCGTATTAACGTTAGTCACACTCCCCTTCCTCATATGATTATCGATCGTGTCGCAGTGCTGCTATTAGGTTGAATCGCCTTGTTGCCTTATGACTATTATCCATATTCCGTTTCGTATTAAGATGCACCGGATTCGTCGAGTTAGTACGATCCGTCTTGCGACTCTGGCGAATGATATTATCAATCGTATCCGTTGTACGCGTCGCATTCTCATCATGACTCATCCTCCTGCTCGTCCCTCCTCCTCCCCAGGTTACTCATCGCCCTTTGGTTCAAGCTACATGTGTTACCTCATTGTGACAAGTCTCGCGACGCACGCTTAGTACTACCAGCATCGTTCCGCATAGAATGTGCATGTCGAGTGTGCACGTTGTCTTTCTCCTCATCATCAACCTCCGCGTGTCCCGTCATCGTCGTCCTTATCCCATAATATCATTATCCTCCTCCTGGTCATCCTGGCCCATGTCCTTCCCATGCCTTCCTCGTCCTTCTTCCCCCCGCTCCCCAGGAAAGCCAAACAGGACGTCACTGGTCGGGGGTGTCAGGCTGACTCCTGCGAAGGTGTGATACGCGTCCCTCCTCGTTGTTCCACGGCTGTCCCTACACATCCATCGTAACGAAAACTTGCCAGCAATCTATGTCTGGAGGGGCTGGCAGGGATACGGAGCGCCTCAAGGATGCGCGTTGACAAGGGGCGCCGGCATGGCCTCAAGCGGCCTGTAAGAAGGCCCATAAGCTCCCAAGAGAGCCCCAAGAACGCCCCAACACGACATCCACAGAGCCCCGATACAGCCCCCGTTCCATCAAAAACTGATTGCGGAATGTACCTAGTGGGGAGGCGCCGTGACACCCGCTCGGTAGCCTCAATCCCACCAACCCACAGGGGCGCAGACTGTGTAAGGCGTTCCTTCTTTCAACGCGACTGATCCCTCCTCCTGGGAGGGCTTAGTCACTGCACTGTAACAAAAAAACGCGACCACAACTTTCCCCACTCGACCGACCGCCGACCCGGAACAACGAGGGCACCCCCGAACCCCACCACCCTACCAGAGCAGCATTCGAAACTGAACCTGGCGGCAAAGTGTGGATCGTGAACGGGCACTCCGCCCACACCTGCTGCATCAATTCCTCTCAGGGTGGGAGGTGATCATACAGTAGGAGCCCGACCACAAGAAACCTTCCGCAAGACACCCAACCCTGAGACCCTAGGACGTCCACTGATCGTTGGTGTGGGAGCGCCACGCCTTCCGTAGCAGAAGTATCGACACCCAAGAAACCCAGGGCACCCTGGAGGCAAGCAGGGTGTTTCTTGGCATTGGTATCCACTGGATTTGTCCGCCGTGTGCTGCCACGCCACCTCTATCAGCAACAAAGTCAAACTGCCTCCGCGGGCCTCTCGCGGCCTCTACGACGGACGCTGACCAGCCCGCCGCCACGCTGCAGCGGCTTGTTTATCCAACGAGGACGGCGGGGGATCGCCGTGTTGCCCGCTGTGTGCTGCCCGATCTGCACCCTCACCTCCTCCTCCTCCTCCTCCTCCTCATCCTCCGCCGCCGCCGCCGCGGCCGCCGACGACGACGACGACGACGACGACGACGACGACGACGACGACGACGACTACTACTACTACTACCTATGGTAGCGTTGGTTGAGAATCGGCCCATCACACGAGACGCGTCAGGCACGCTTGGGCCCCTGGAGCGTGATCCCAAGCTTCGGCTTGATGGCTACCTCACCTCTCTGCTTTCCTGCATGCTCCTAAGTTCCCTGATTAGGTCATCTCGCCTGGCGATCCTTTCTGGATGGGCTGGTCGGGATATGGGAATCGCCAAGAATTATCATTCGTCTCTTGGCCCCGTCGCTGTCAACGTGTCACTGTCCAGCTAGGAATTACGCCAGAGTCGCCACAGCCACAAGGAGACTCGTGTGTGCCGTCGCAGCTGCATGGCTGCGGTCCCACCACGGTCGCCGAATTGTGACTAACCCACGGCACCCCTTCTCAGAAAGGAGTGGGGACCCAGAAGACGGAGGAGGAAAGGGAAAGAGGACATGTCATCACACATGCACCTCACCACCATCCTGTCAGAACCTCGTTGCACCTGGCAGAGTGGCCGACACAGGTCTGCGCGGCAACGAGGGCACTGTCACTGCAACAGCATCGTCCCTACTAGAAAGATGAGTGATGCAGGGCCGCGGACTGGAGCGGTAGATGTTGGCGGCGTTGTGGGGGCAGTCCCGTCCACGAAGCAGCCAAAGCACGAATCGCACCCTGGATGGCAGTAATAACCTAGCACAGGAAAGTACCCATCATCGCAGATCACCTCATCCCAGGTGGCGGATGCATCTGGCTTACAGTCTCGGTCCGAATCTGCACAGGCACCGCAGTCGAGCGATGCTCCAACACACTCCCCGTCGTACTGGTACCCCCCAATGTAGCACTCGGCGAAGCAAGCACTGGAATATGTGGCACCATCGAATCCGCAGACAGGCTCCAACTCATCAGAGCAACCGCAGTAGTTGGAAGTGGTACTGGTGACAGAGGAAGCGACAGTAAAAGCGGACGTGGTCATGAACGTGGACGTGGCAGTGGAAACTGCAGAAATGGAAGTGGCAGAGGAATCGGTAGTAGTGGCAACCACAGAACCAGAAGTGGAAGTGGAAAGGGAAGCAGTGAAAGTGGCAGAGGAAGCGGCAGTAGGGGTAACAAGCGAAGAGAAAGTGGAAGTGGACACGGACGTGGTAGAGCTAGAAGCGGGAGCGGAAGTGGAAGTGGCAGAAGCAGTAGAAGTGATAGTTGACGGCGCGGTAGTCGACGGCGTGATAGTTGACTCCACAGGCGTTGGTGATGAAGTCGGGGCCGACGCGACTGCGAAAGCGATGTCGTAGCAGGTGGGGTCGAGAGTCTTTGCCTCTTCGAAAACGGCTCCCTCCGTGCCAGTGAGCGAGATGTAGCCCATCATCCCGCTGTCCTCGTGGCTGAGGATGTGACAGTGGACAACCATTTTGCCAGTGAACCTGTCGGTGTTCATGCGGGCAACCAGGGTGCCACCTCCTAGGGCTTCGAGGTAAAGCGTGTCGTGCCAGTCTCCAGCTTGGAAATAACCGTTGCCAAGGGAGGCTGCTCCACCCATGCTTTGGATCTGAAACGAGTTGACGTGCCAGTGCATCGGGTGCCCGCCCACGCCCGTGGCCTGTATCTCGTACACGCTGCCCGTCGTGAAGCTCGCTAACGGTGGCCACGCGCTCATGCCGCCCACGTTCTGCACGGCCTGGTACGTCATGCTGCTACCGGCCCCATTCCACGACACCGTCAAGGCGCCACCGTTCAGGGCCAGGGCGCCCGTGTGCCCCTCGGGCACCGTGGCCTGCCGCAGGTCCGCGAGGTAGCACGGGCGCTCCAGCGTGGTGATCGGGAGCGCCTCGACCGCACCGCCGGCGGTCTCTGCGATGGAGAGAGAGAGAAGGGCCACCTCTGCCACGTCGACGGTGGGCCGATTGGGGCCTGGGCCACCCTGGCCCATGCCGCCCCCACCCCCCCCGCCCCCGCCGCCTCCGCCGCCCCCGCCGCCTCCGCCGCCCCCGCCGCCTTGGAGCCTGCGCCCAGGGGCGGAGCTCAAGGTCGCAGTGCAAGGATAGGCGACTCCTGTGCATACGCAGGACATGGCAACGTCCGAGCGAGCTCCCGGGTAGAGGTGGATTTCGGTGATTTCTCTCGGGATCTCGTTCAGGTAGACGCCGTCCTTGGCAAGCAGTTGCAATGTGCAAGTAGCGTCTCCTGTAGTGCTCAATGTAAGCGTCTGCTCCACTGCCGCGTAGACCATGCGCAAGCGGTGCCACACATGAGAGTCGATGGACATGGTCTGCCCGAGCTGGCCGTTCACAAGGAAGACATTCGTATCGAGACCCTGGTTCTCCGCGACCTGCACCGCATTAGTTAGGATCTCGGCATCCCCGTTGCTAGACTGCGCGTCGACGGCGATCTCCTGCAGCGTGACCAGGTTATGGCCCGAGATGAAGAGGATCTTCTCGACCATGCTGCTGTACGCATTTGGTAGATAACCTGAGCCCAGCTGCCTTGATACGCAACATGCAACCCGGAGCGCGTTGACGCGGAGCTCAACATACATATTGAAAACGCATGTCTGCCGCAATACGTTCGCCAACACGCAACGAATTTAAGCCCGGCGTTTTGACCACGGTACGTGTAGCGTTTCAGGGCAGGCGTATCAAGGCAACTGAGAGCCTGGGGGGTCCTCCACGATGAGCGCACCGGCAGCACCACCGCCAGCCTGGAGAGCGGTGGCGTGGTGGCGGTGCGGGTGGTACCAATGCGTGCCGCCCATGTGGTAGTCGGGGATGCTGAACTGGTACTGCTTGGAGCTCTGGGGGTCCACCTCTGAAAATACATCGTCGCTTGCGTACGCCAGCTCATCCGAGCCCTTGGAAGAGACGTGCAGGCCATGCGTATGGAAGTTCGTAGTGGAAGCATGGCAAAACTCAGTCCCGGTGACGCCACAGTCGACATTGTTGACGGGGTCTAGATTATTGACAAGATTCAGAGAAAGAGTATCGCCAGGCTTCATGCGGAACGTGGGCCCGTCCACGTATCCCCTCGACATGATCCCATACGCCCCGTTTGCGATAAACTTATGTCCCAGTTCCAACGTGTACCATCCATCTTCCGCTTTTACCTCGGGGGCGAACGAAAGCTCCTGTGCAGTGAGCGACCTCCCAACCCGAGCCGTCTGATTGCTACACCTGCCTGGATACGCCACGCTAACATTGGCGCAGCGGGCGGTGCAAGCGCTCGCGTAGGTCTCGCCATCATCGCCGCATACCGGATCCGAGAAGTCGCTAAGGCAGTGCCCGCCGACTGCAGACGCCAGAGCTCGTGCGCCGCTAGCACTGGGCAGCGCCGGAACCCTGCGGAAGAGTTCGCCACCCCTGCCGCGCGGTACCTCCACCTGCACCCGCAGGCAGGCCACGTCCTTACCAGCAGCATCGATTGCCCTGATTTTCAGCTTGTAGGCACCCGCGATCACCATCGGCGGCAGCTTGTCGAGAGCGAAGCTCAGTTCGGTGTAGCCCGGGGGGAGGGGACACCGGCACCTGCTGTGCTTCTTGCCGAGATGTGTGCACAGATCCTCCTCGTACTTGTGGGGGACGCTGTGCCACACAAGCTCTCGCTTCATCCAGTCTGAAGTGGACGACCCGCCGGCGGCCGAGCCCTTGTACATCTGTACGCTGACCATGCCTCCCGACACGCTGCGCGAGAGGTTGCCGTACGCGCGCACCTGAAGGTTATCCAGGCTGAACTTCGTGCGCGCCACGTACATCACATCATGCTTATTGCCACAGTCCATGACCTGCATGCCTGCGCCGTGGTCGAGCATCTCTGCCACGGTGACAACGTCACTTTCCTCGTTCCCCTGTCTCGCCATGTCGTCGAGGAAACCCCAAAAGTTGTCGCCCTTCTGGGGTGAGGGAGCTCGGTGAGCAAAGATGGTGGGCAGTTCTGGACCTTTGGGTGCCTCCATGAAAATCTCCCAATGCTAGAAAGCCAACACCAACAACCTGAACAAGGTGGCTGCCAAATCCTGGGTCTCAAGCTGACGTTGTTCACCGCGCCCCCGTTTTTCTTACTATATTTTTGTTCCTGTCTCTCTCTGACTAGTTCTCTCTCTCTCTCTCTGTTATGTATGGGTTCCTCTCTCTCTCTCTCTCTCTCTTGCTGTTGTCTCTCTCACTCTGTGCATATATATATATTGTTTATACATAGGTGCACGTGCGCACATACACACGTACACGTGATGTATGTATACACACACATATACATAAATTAAGATAGGTAAACAGATGTACGACGAAGTATGCGCGATCATATACGCGCACAAACAAGTACACCAATCGCACCCCTAAATGCTTCAATTCCCTCGGCAGTGTTTACGCTTAGGTGTTCGTACTTCTTCTACGATGAAATGGGTCTGGGTGGGGACAAGCAAATAAGAACCCCTTAGGGTTTCTGAGTTTTTTTCCTAACCGTGTTTGCACTTAGTAAGTGCCAGCACGATTTGGGGAAGCTCTATACAAATATGTATATATATATATATGTATAAGAATGTATCGGAAATGGGGAGATTGATGCAGAAATGAAGCGTGAGGGGGCCGAAACGGACAATCGTTTCGTTCTGCTCGTGCCGCGCGTGCGGGCTAGGCGGGGTTGCGCGGTTTCCTACTCGTATTGGAACTACGCCTTTCCACAAACAGTTGGCCCGTGAGCGACGGTTGCTCCCGGCTGCCCCCAAGAATCCCGCCAGTTGTCCCGATGGTTGTCCCGATTATTGTCCCGATGGTTGTCCCGACGATTCTCCCGTTGGCTGTCCCGATGGCTGCCCCGCTGGCTGTCCTGGTGGTTGTCCCGATGGTTGTCCCGATGGTTGTCCCGGTGGTTATCCTGATAGTTGTCCCGATGGTTGTCCCGATGGTTGTCCCGATGGTTGTCCCGATGGTTGCCCCGATTGTTGTCCCGATGGTTGTCCCGATGGTTGTCCCGACGGTCATCCCCATGGTTGTCCCGTTGGTTGTCCCGGTTGTTGTCCCGATGGTTGCCTCGATGGTTGTCCCGATGGTTGTCGCGATGGTTATCCTGATGGCTGCCCCGACGGTTGTCCTTCTGGTTGTCATGACGGTTGTCCAGGTGGATGTCCCGTTGGCTGTCCCGCTGGCTGTCCTGGTGGTTGATCCGATGGTTGTCCCGATTGTTGTCCTGATGGTTGTCTCGGTACATGCCTGGATGGTTATCCCGATGGTTGTGCCCGTTGTTGTCCACATGGTTGTGTCCATGGTTATCCAGATGTGGCCCCGATGTTTGTCACGATCATTGTCCCGATTGGTTGCCCCGATGGCTGTTCGAATGGTTGTCAATATGGTTTGCCCGATAGTTGTCACACTTGTTGTCCTAGTAGTTGAATCGCGAGGTGAAACCGACAGACCAAGTGGTAGTTAGATAGATATGAAGATAGCGATACCGAGACCTAGTGAGACTGAGAGACGGCTGTGCCGATGTTTGCCCCGATGGTTGTTTCGATGATTGTCCCGACGGTTGTCCTGGTAGATAGATAGCGAACCCCAAAAATATATTGGTAGTGGGATAGATAGGTGCCTAACGAGACTGGTATATACTGAGACTTACAAATGCGCTGGCCGATGGATGTCCCGATGGTTGTCCCGAGGACACTCCCGATGCACGATGGCCTGATAGATAGGCCGTGAGATCGACAGTTAGATTGCGAGTGAGATCGGTAGATGTTCATTGCGGCATAGAGATACTGATACCGATGGATGAATGATAGACGGTTGTCCCAATGGTTGTCCCGGTGACTGTTCCGATGACTGCGCCTGTGGTTGTCCTGATGGGTGTTCCAATGGCTGCCCAAACATATTCTGATATCGACAGATCAGCGGGTAGCATGATCGGAAGAGAGGTAGTCAGATCGGCAATTCGATCGGGACGGTGGCCCCGATGGTTGTTACAACGATTACTAGCTAGACAGCACGATGTATAAATAGTCAGACGGTGGTCCTCACATGATCATACAATTTCGCGCCGCCTCTTCATCATTGATACACATGTGGCCACCCCTGTCATCATAGATCTCCCCTCCTGCGGGAGCGGCCGTGTAATAGGATTCGTTCTGAGGCGGTTGTGCACATGAATTCCTTTTTTGCGGCGGCCTTACACAGTTTCCCGTTCTTGGAAAAATGAGAGGGGGGAAAGACTGCTATGCGAAAAAAACCCGGGCAAAACAAAAAGCCCCAAAACGCCTGAGATGTCTAAAGTGGTGTTGGCACGGGAGCCCTATGGCCACACAGCTATTCCATATAGTTGCTGGTTTTCTGGCAAAGGGCACCTCGTCTCCTCCTGTTTATTACCCTTCTCGGCGCCACCCGGAAAGATTGCGCCAGGCAGGGCGGCCCGTGAAAACACAGAGTTGCCTGATATGTCCGATGGCCCTGGTCAGGAAAACCACTGGAAACACATATGCCTGATATTTTTGAAGGTAAAAACCGGAAAAGCATGCGAAACGCACACACACACATTACCAATATGACTGGTGGTTGTCGCATGGAGTCCTTTGTGAAAACAGACATATCTGCATACACATAGTATACACATATATGACATGTGTTGGTCAGCTGGGGAAGGGCGCCCATCCACCTCTTGCCCAGTCTCCTCCTCGACGCCCCCTAGGGCAATGCGCCAGACAGAAAACCGCTTATCTGCAGTAAACAATCTTGAACAACAAATGCCTGATACCGTTGGTGGTTCTGGTACCGCAAGCTTTGAAGCATCGATATTCGTTGTACCTTTTTTTCCTCCAGGTTTTCTGGGGAACGGCGCCCCCCACCCCACCCCCCACCCCACCCCACACCACCCCGCCCCATCGCATTGCACCGCGCCCGCATCAAGAAACGCTGAACATGTCATGACTATTGGTGCTTGTCACAAGGCGTCTTTACGAAAACCTCGGGATGCATCACTAATATATGCGTGTCCAAGGCTCCCTTGCCAAAGCCATCCAACATAAGAAGGGCACGCGTGATGTCGCAAGGTTTGCCGACGCCGCTGCTTCTTCTCCCCCACCCCACCCCCCCACCCACCCGCCCACCCACCCTCACCCACCTCCACCCCTCCCTGCATCACCCTGCTCCTGTTCATGCGTGCTCCCGCTATATCCCAATCCTCCTCCTCCTCCGCCTCCTTCTCCTCCTCCGCCTCCTCGTCCACCTCCTCGTCCTCCTGTTCCTCCTGCTCCTCCTTCTTATCCCCTTTTCTCTTTCCACTCAGGCATGCCATGTATCGATTCCTCTGCGTCCGGTCCTGGACAGCAGACCTTGATCGCTCGATTGGCAGACATGGACAGCAGACGACGAGGAAGGTAAGAACAGGGGCATGGAGAAGATATGGTTGACGACGACAACGTTTTCAGGAAGATGGTTTTCGCGGTTGCTTCGGCGCTTCTTTTCGTAGCCCAATCGGGACAGGCAGTGCATAATCGAGCCGCTGGCTGCCCCCCGCCAGAGCGGCCCCCTGCACCCTTCGAATCATCCATGTCGCCATGAGGCCGGGATGATCGACGTTGCCTGCGTCGTCGAACGCAGCGGCAAGGTCCTGGGCGCTCGGCGCGGCGGCTGTGCCAGGGAGCTCGTCGGGCGGGGTCGAGAGGTCCATCTCGCCATCCGGGGTGGCCCCGAAGGGCCTCGCCCAACAGACGTGCTTGGGCAATCCATGGGGGGGAGGGGGGGCGGCTCGCTGGCCGACACGCCACTGCCACCCTCGGCGTCGTTGGGGGGATCTCTCTTTGCCGAGATAGGCATGGGCGCGGCCCCCTTTGTCCAGCAGCGCCTTCATGAAGCGGACCTGCTTGTTCCTGAGCGCGCGATGCTCCTCAGCGCCCCGCATCGCGCCGTTGCGGACGCAATCGCACCTGATCTTGCCTGCCACCGCGGTGGCGCAGTGGCCCACCTGCGGGGCCTTGTCGCGTCAGCACCCAAGCCCGCCAAGAGCTCGAACGCGTCATCGGAGGTGTTCACGACCACGGAGGACCGCTTTCAGGGGACTGCGACGTTCGCCTTGGACAAATCCTTTGGGAACGTGCGTTCCCGTACCTCGAACAAGCACTGGTCGCGTTGCTTCTTGGCCTCAGCTGGAGGCAAGATACGCAGACCGTGCCGCGCGTCCACGGCGGGGACAGCCGTCTCGTCGCACATGTTCTCCGCGGCGAAGCGCGCCTGATTTCGATCGAACCCACCTGCCTCCCACCGCGCCCTCGTCATCGCCTGCAACTGGCCAACGCCCGCGAAAGCCTTCAGCGCATCCGAGCGCGGCCCGAATGAGCTGCCATCGTCGGAGACGCACGGGCAATTCTTCGCGCCATCCACGGCCTCGAAGAAAAATGTAGGTCTGGCGCCTCTCGGCGCGAAGCCGGGCCGCGGCCCCCAAGCTCGTCTGCGCGGTAGTCGCTCATTGCGAATGCCAGCGCCTCCAAGCACTACTTCTTCCCCGCGCCAGGCTTGCCGACCGCGGGGCAGGAGTGGCTCTTGACAGTAGGAACGAGGCGCTTCGCGCGCTCGACGCTCTTGCCCCCCTGCGTCGAAGATCCCCCAAGTGCACCCTCAGAGACTTCGTCCCAGGAGCGGGCAGGGTGGCCACGAGCAGGAACATATTGAGGGCTCGTGGGTGCGCGAAAGTGTTCGAACAGTCTGAAGCAGCCTGGTCACTAGCGCCGGCGGGGCAAAGTGGGGGCGAGGGGGCGGGGCACACGCGGGCGGGGGCAAAGCCCGCGACGACGACGCGACGACGGCGAGCGGACCGCCGCGTGGACCTGATCAGAGGCCGCGCGGTGGAAGGTCGCCACCAAGCTGCGTGGTCCGATCCTGTTGGAGGAAAGCTTGAAGCCTCTTTTTGGCTTGGTATTGTCGGCTCGCCTCCAACTTCCTCTCGTAGGGCGATGCTTCCTTCGCTGTTTTGCCTGTGCCTCCTAGCAGTGTCGCTTTAGCGGCGGTCTGAACCTAAACACCTTGTTTCCCCGTGACACAAGCTGCATGCAGGCGATTGCTCTTCCATCCCACTCCTGCTATTCCTCCCCCTTCCTCCCTCGTCTTCCCCCACCTCCTCATCATCCTCCTTCTCCTCATCCTCATCCTCATAATCCTCATGAAGGCAAGGTGCACGGACGGCCGCGGCAGGTGAGGAACATGAAATGAAGGCCGCCAAAGAAAGGAACGGTGACGGAGATGACGAAACAACTAAAGAACGAGAGAATTCATATTAAACAATAAGATGACGACAACGACGACGAGCATAGGAACATGTGACCATGCGGAGCAGACGTATATATATAACTATATATATACATACATATATATATATATGTATGGATGATGCGTGGATGTAGGAGTTGGTCGGCAGCTATATTAATGTATCCATGTAAAGGCTAAACACACATGTGGATTAAGAACAGCTCGAATGATATAGGTAGAGGGAAATCCAATGAGGTGAAGAAGATAACTGCGCATTGGTACTCAAAAGACATGTGGTGTACATATGTGCATGTATGTACACAAAGAGTTCTACAGGTATACACGCGCATGTGTGAAAATGATTACCGGCCGGTGGATCAATGGACGAATAAAAACGCATGACCGATGTCCTGATGTGTGTCCGATCGTGATCTGAAATCCACAACACGAGCCAATTAGGATGCCAATCACAAAAAACATCCTTGTCACCCGAAAGGTGGTCCATGCTGTATATCCTTGTTCCCTCCTCCCTCCTGCACGCACGATGCTCCTGATCGTGCTCCTGTTGTTGTTATCTCCGTTTCCTCCTCCTCCTCCTCATCATCATCATCATCAGCATCATCATCAGCAGCAGCATCATCATCCTCTCTCTCTCTCTCTCCTCCCCAATTCCCCGCTCATGTTGGCCAGTCCCCTGATCATCCACGCTACTTGGCTCCAAAAAAAAATCCCTTGGAAACTTGCAAGAGGAATAATATGTATGTAAACCCGTCGGCATGATGAAATGTCGCGCGCGCGTGCTCAGCGTTCCTACGCACGCGATCCCAAGACGTCCCATGGCCACAACATGCTTCCAGAAATGCCTCAGGCCACGGACGATAACGTCCAGAGGACCCAGGATGATGCCACCCCAACCCGATCCCGCCATGGATTCTGGACCGTCTCAGGCCGACTCGCAGATGACGAAACACATGAGCAACGCGTGACGCCGAGATGGCCCGATGGCAACAAGATGGATCCAAGCGCACCCAGGGTGGCCTCATAATGACCACGCGATGGTTGCGTGATCCAAACATGACCGGGATATGATCTCAAGATGACCTCAAGACGACCCCAACACAGCAATAATACTGCAACTTATGAGCCCCATCTTACCTCGAGCCGATCCCAGCATGGTGGGATCCGTGAACGGCCCGGGATTTTGGTCTACCCCATTTTTAATGGGTGGGATTTTGATCGTCCTGAACTAAGCGTATAATATTAAAGCGGAATAAGCCAGGCGGGATCCCGCCCGGCCCACGGAGGAAGACAACATTGCTAGGCTTCTACGGGGGTAGGGGGTTCGGAAGGGGCGTCGTTTACTTCCGCTGACATTGGCAAGCCTTCCGGCGGCCTTCCCCCGTCTTCCGCCTCGTTTTACTTCCGTCGACTTCCGCCGGCCAGCGTCGTGATGACAATTCCAGGAACTTTCATTGGGCCGATGTAGTCTGGGGCTGCTACCCATGCTTATGTTCCTCCTCCCCTCCGTCTCTGCTGGACCTTCGCCTTACCCTCGCCGAGCGCGAACAACGACACGACGGCCAGAAACGAGCGGGCCGCCGCAGAAGTCATCATCCACATCCAGGAACGCCCCGAACGCGGTTGACAAGTCTGCGAAATTGGCTGAACCAGCCAGGGGCTCGAACCAGGAGGGAATGGGAGACGCGGCAGAAGCACGAGCAGGCGCAGGAGCAGGAAGGGGGGGAGGAGGAGAACGAGGTGGAGGAGGAGCAGGAGCAGGAGGACAAGAAGCAGGGGGAGGAGCAGGAGGAGAAGGAGCGGCAGCAAGAACAGGAGCATGACGAGGCGAGGACTGCGGAGCGGGAGCAGGAGGAGTGAACGGCAAGAAGGGAAGCAGGGCGAGCATGAGCAGAAGAAGCAGGCGGCGCCGGCTGTGCTAGCATGGCGGACCTCCTGCCTCAGCGCACCTCAGCTGGCTGGAGCAGGAGGCAGGCAACAGGTGATATGTCGACCCGTATCCCAGACTTCGGGGGTACCTCGAATCATCAATAAGGGAGCGTCAGGATGGCCCCCCATGGGGGCGTATCCCCTAGTTCCCTTCGTTTTCTGAGCGGCTTGATTAGAAGCCTCCCAGACGGGGTAGCAGTAGATGGGGTCAGAGGATCGAGCCGAATCGTCGATGCATCCTCGATGCGTCGGTGATACATCTGCGATTCATCGGCGACGTCAGTGATGTATTGGCGACTTCGGCGTGGATAAAATCGGGCTGAACATCGAGCCGCATCGCCGATGCATCGGCGATGCGGCGCGATCCTCCGACCCCACCCACTCGGACCCCACTGTGGGAGGCCCAGGCTGATCTTCGTGGAGAGGTCGAGGGCTGGGGAGCAAGAAATCGCCCGCGAGCAGGTGGTTCATGCGCAGCAGGAGGACGAACAGGAGGGACGGGCAGGAGTTGGCGGCGCGCACAAGGAGCTGCCTTCTTAGAGGAAGGCTGCTTCTTGAAAGGCGCCGGCCCTACATCTATAGACGAGAACCACGCCTTCTCAGAAGCAGGGGTGATTCCAAGAAGCCTTCCCCCCTCCCCCCACCCCCCTTCTGCGCGTAGCCGACTTGAGCCTGAGCCTGAGCCCCCCCCAAAGCGTTTTTGGCACGCCCGCAACGGGTACAGAAAAGAGGTACGATGACCAACAGCAAAGATTACCCCAAACCGACAGCAACAGCCTCTCTGCCTCAAGAGGACAACGTCCGCGGCGACGCTGACATCGACGCCTGTCTGACCGTTTTCTCTTTCCCGGGTAACGGTCGTTACCCACGGGGGAGGGTCGGGCTGCACGGTGTTCCCCGGGGCCGTAGGCGACCCGAGAAGGAGGAGGAGGAGGAGGAGGAGGAGGAGGAGGAGGGGAAAGAGGAGGAGGGAGGGAGGAGGAGGAGGAGGAGGAGGAGGAGAGGAGGAGGAGGAGGAGGAGGAGGGGCGGAGGAGGAGGGGGAGGAGGAGGAGGAGGAGGAGAAGGAGGAGCACGAGGAGGAGGAGGAGGAGGACAGGTCGCCTACGCCCTTCGGAGAAATCCTCTAGGTCGGGCGGGAGGGCAACGGTAATTCACGGCGGCCGCGGCGTGCAGCCGCCGGGGTGCGCCCTCGCCCCCTGCGCACCAGTCGCCTGTGTGCACCACAGCGAATGTAGGAGGGGGTCCAGGCCACACACACACACACACAGCAGCACCAGCACGACCGGTAGCTTTACCCGGGGGGGGATGCATTGGCCCGGGTAACGAGCGGGACCCTGGGGAGGAAAAACAGACAGAGAAACATTGAAACAACACGACCGCTAGCTTTACTCGGGGGTGGATGGATTGGCCCAGGTAACGAGCGTGACCCTGGGGAGGAAAAGCAAGACGGAGAAGCATGGAAACAACAAAAAACACGAACAGCAACAACAGGGAAAACGCTCACAAAAGGTCAACGTCCGCCGCGACGCCGACAGCGAGTCATGTTCAAGATCGACCAGACGCGGGGCGTGGCCCGAGAATTAGGTCGGGCATGCCCCCCTACAGGTGGATTTTGGCAGAAACATGCAAAAGAGTCAAACAGATTCCAAAATGGTCCAGAAAATCTAAAAATTGTCCCCAGGCTATGCTCTGCCTATGTTTGAACATTCCTCCTGTAGAGGGGCACGCCTGACTTAACCCAACGAGGACGAGCAGAGGGCCGCCCGGCCGGTCGAGCGTCCGCGCACAAGGCCCACCCGCGCGCATTGCGCCAGCGGCGGGGCGAGGCCCGCCGAGCCGCCCGACCCGCGGGGGCCCGCGGGCGGGCCCTGTGCGAGGCCGAGGGCCTGGGCCTCTGCTGGAGGCCTCCTCCTCCTCCTCCTCCTCCTCCTCCTCCTCCTCCTCCTCCTCCTCCTCCTCCCTCCCCCCCCTCCTCCTCCTCCTTCTCCTTCTCTCCTCTCCTCCTCCTCCTCCTCCTCCTCCTCCTCCTCCTCTCCTCCTCCTCCTCTCCTCCTCCTCCTCCTCCTCTCCCTCCTCCTCCTCCCCCCTCCTCCACCTCCTCCTCCTCCTCCTCCTCCTCCCTCCTCCCCCTCCGCCTCCTCCGCCTCATCATCTTCCTCACTCCTCTCTCTCCTCCTCCTCCTCCTCCTCCTCCTCCTCCTCCTCCTCATCCGCCGGCGCCGCGCAACTAGCCCACGATGTGGCATAACGAGTTTGTTACACCTGGAGGCTGACGTGCCCCTACCAACAAAAAATGTGGTTCGGCCATGACCCTATTTGAAAAATGCTACTCATGCTGGGCATAAGTTGGCCCCTCTCTGTCGCCACATTGTTAGTTCTGAGCAACGTCTACACCGCAGAGTTGGGGGGAAGCTGGAACGGAGCACGCTGCCCCACGACAAGATCTTTGCCCCAAGTTGTGGCCGCCGCGATCGCCGCCGCGACTTCCAAAGCCGACCCAGAGATTTGGTTCGGGGTCGGCTCTGGAGGCAACGAGGTCTCTGAAGGAGGAGGGGGAGGGAGGAGGGAGCAGCAGCAGGAGCAGCAGCAGGACCAGGAGCATACCCGCTTCGGTCCCCCAGAAGGCCTGCGCCCCGGATCCGAGACGAGGGGCGGCGGCCGCAGGAGAAGTGGAGGGGGGCGAGGGCAGCCCGGGGCGCGCGCGTCCTCCCGGGCAGCAGCCCGCTGGCGTCCACGCCTGACGGGGCGGGGTCGGCTGGCACTGCATCGGGGGGGCCGTGGTGGCAGAACAACCCGAAAACGAGGCCTGGACCAGGACGACATCGGGTGAGGAGAAAGGAGGAGGAGGAGGAGGAGGAATGATGGAGGAGGAGGAGGAGGAATGGAGGAGGAGGAGGAGGAGGAGGAGGAGGAGGAGGAGGAGGAGGAATGGAGGAGGAAGAGGAGGAGGAGGAGGAAGATGGAGGAGGAGGAAGGAGGAGGAGGAAGAGGAGGAGGAGGAGGAGGAGGAGATATGATGGAGGAGGAGGAGAAAGAGGATGAGGAGGAGGAGGAGGAGAGGAGGAGGAGGAGGAGGAGGGAGGAGGAGAGAGAAGGGGAGGAAGGAGGAGGAGGAGGAGGAGGAGGAGGAGGAGGAGGAGGAGGAGGAGGAGGAGGAGGAGGAGGAGGAGGAGGGGGAGGGGGAGGCCCTGCCCCCCCGTGATCCGGTGGTTCTGGAGGATGCACCGAGCGCCGCTCCGAGAGCGTGCCGGAAGGCCCCGGAACGGATGTGGCCTCGTCCCTGCCGCGTCCTAAGCTTGTAGATGCCATGACAATGGACACTCTAACGATCCTATCATTGAGTTGAAGATGTGTTTACAAATGTGTAAAACATGTTCTAAAAACGTTTCAAACATGATTTTACATATGTAAAATATGTTTGGAACATGTCTGGGGCATCTGAAGTTATTTGGCAGCATGCTTGTTCTCCATTAATCGACTTCCACATCCTAAGCCCGCCCCTCCGTGGGACGCACAAGGAAGAACATACTGGTACTAGGTGTCTTCCTTGGAAGCGCGCGTCCGACCCGAGCATCTATAGCTTAGCCATCCTGTATTGTATCATATCACTTCCCAGGCGGTATCGCCAGAACACGCCCGCCACAACGCATCTACTATGAGATTTCTCGGTTCGTGCGTCGCCCCTGGGGGGGAGGGGGGGGGGCCACGCACATCTAGCCTCCATCTCCGAGCCTCGATCCGCGACGCTCGTACACCCACCCCCGATCGGATCGAGGGGCGGGAGATCGACGATCGGGGCGCGAGGCAGGCTCGAGGACGGAGGCTCGGGGATGGAGATATGGAGGCTCGAGGACCGAGGCTCGAGGCTCGGGGCTCGAGAACCAGTCAGCATCACACCGGGAGATCGGATCGCATCGGCATGTGCGTCGGATCGGGCCGCACGGGCACGGCACGCGGTCGGAAGCGAGTCGGGACCGGCCGAGTCGGGATGCACGGAAGCGCCAGGGCAGGCAGCGGGCCGCCTCTCATCGTCGGAGAATCAGCGCCCCGTCAACGGGGACTCCAACGAAGGGCGCTTTGGCCAGTGGCATGGCAAACCCCGCCCTCCCTGATTCCCCTGATGCGGGCGCAACGCCTGCAAGGCCAGAGAGAGGCCCTGAGGTGGCAACGTTGGCCACCTTTCCAAAACACCACCCGTCAGTGAGCACCCGTTGCGGTGCCGCTAGGCTGAGAACACCAGTGCACGGTAGCGCCAGTGCAGGCATCGGGTCGCCTCTCATCGTCGGAGAATCGTCGGAAGAAGAGGAGGAGAAGGGGGAGGGGGAGGAGGAGGAGGAGGAGGAGGAGGAGGAGGAGGAGGAGGAGGAGGAGGAGGAGGAGGAGGAGGAGGAGGAGGAGGAGGAGCAGGAGGAGAGGAGGAGGAGGAGGAGGAGGAGGAGAGGAGGGGAGGAGGAGGAGGAGGAGGAGGAGGAGGAGGAGGAGGAGGAGGGGGGCGCGCATCATGGCCCAGAGCGCGTGATGTCACGGCCCCTGGCCATGATCTCCACCTCCCGCCCTGGCCTCCTCTTCTGGACGCCCCCCCGATGCCTGCGGGGGGGAGAGCGTTCCCTGTGGTGGACCTCCAAAAGGTCCACTGCATCATCCCAGTGCACGACGCCTGCGCAAGAGAGCCCAACATTGAACCGAGGAGT